CTGAAAAGTTCACCATGGGCAGAAATCCTTTATACGCGGGTACTGTACTCATTGAGCTCTACAAAATAACAAATACCCGATTCGAAACGGAGACTCACACTTGGGGACCTTCCCTCGTAAGTGCCAAAAACCCACCAGGACGAGCCTTTTTAGACTTTTACTAGTCTTACTGAGACCTTATTCTGAACCTATTATGATTTCAAACGGCAAGTTTCAGTTGAAGTAATTGTCACACTAGCCTAGGAACTGTATTGTTTATATTTTAAGATTAAAATTCGAGCATCGCACAGAATCATGTTAAACAATTAAATTTATCAATGGAATAAATTGAAGAGCGTTCTATCATAAACATAAATGAATTAAGAAAATAACAACAATTTGTTTTTTCTCTATGTCGATGAACGAAATCTTCAGTTACACATACAGACAAGACCAATATTATAATTTGTGGGACAAAACTTGCTTCATTCTGATCTCTATGAACTTTTACAATATATGAAAGCAATATGCTGACACAATTTTTCGTATCTCTGATTTGTTTTACACGAGGATATAAACGTTAATATATTTCTATTCTTGTTTCTTTGCTACATTTCATAACTAATATTGCTCAAATTTCGCTTTAGTATCACTCAAATATAAATAGGAATCAAATATCTATACTTCATATAGGATTATTTCATTTGAAATTAATACAACTTTGAAAAAAAAACCAAATCAATTTCTAAAACCACATACTTTTGATCTTCTTCATAGATCTTTCTAACAATTTCATCAATCACTAATTTTTCTCGTAGAAATTCTTCGTAAGCTTTTTGTTTATTTAATTCTTGTTCTTCAAGTTGTCGTTCAAGTTCTTGTTTATAACGTATCATTTCTTGTTGTCGAATAATTTCACGTTGACGACGATCTTGTTCAGCTTTATCAGTTTCAGTACGCATACGTCGTGCTATTTCAGCATCTTCTAAACATGAATCAAATTTTAAAGCTTCTTTTTCAGCCATCTGTGCTGTGCGCTCTTTTTGAACATAACCAGCACGTAATTTCGATTCTAATTCACGTAACTCATAACTTGTTTCACTGAAAGAAAAAACAAATAATTACAAGTTGTATTTTTGGTTTACTTTCTTCCTAATACCGAATTTGTTGTCGCATTTTTTCATCGCGTATTTTGTCAAGTTTGATTCTTTCAAGTTCTGTAGCTAGACGTTCTTCTTGACTGCGTGCTTCAGCTGCTGATTTTTTTTCAGATTGTGCTCGAATAATAGCTTCTTCCATTGCTCGATCACGTTCCACACGTGCTTGCTCACGTGTATTTCGTTTATTTGTTGCTTTCATTTCAAATTCTTGCATTTCTGTTTCAATACGACCTTGTGCTAATTGTCGTTCACGAAAGATTCGATCAGCTTCTTGTTCACGTCTAGCATTTTGATTAGCAATCCAATTACTTGTACCAGTATTGCTACCACCTTGATGTTTATATAATTGACGAGTTAACGCCTATAAGAAACAGATGTATGTATATTTTTTCTTCAGTATGCTTACCATATTTATGAAAAATCTTTAAAATGTTTAAACTAATAGAAAAACAAACTGTTTCAGTTTCACATTGGTTGTCTCATTATGTTTTTGGCTAGACAATCGAACAACTGCATCTCTCCATTTTTTATAAAAACTCTATAGCATTAACCTCTGAGTTCAATATTTATATTTAAATAAAACATTTTTTATTATAAGATAAGTTCATAAAAAAAAATTAAATATCATATAATTAAATATTGATTTTTATGTTTTATACTGTATGTAAGACTTTAACAATAGATGTCGATAGTTCTATACAGAGCTGGAACCGGTAAGAAATTTTGAAAACGGTCCGGTCCGGCCGGAAAACGGCCGTTTATAAGTTGTTCTTG